GCTTTGGGCCGAACGGCCCAACGGTTCGATTAAATTATACTATTTTATAGATTAATAATTTAGCTGGATATACCTTTTATGCTAAGCTTAGTTTCGAAGTGAATACTTCACACAAGGGTATTTTCTGAACTATAATCTCAACTACGTAGAATGAGAAATTTTGGGTTTATTTAAAAATATCAACATTTAATATCAATCACCAAATTTTTTTCTTTTAGTTCTTAGGCTATAATAATTTAATTTATACCAAATAACAGTAAGGTTAAACAAATTAAACTGATATATCTAGCAGTAGGCTTTTGCTAATTTAAGCAACCTTCTATAATCACAGAGTAAAAAGATTAAATTTAAATGGTTAATATCTTGAATCAGTCTAACTAAAATTAATAATAAATTGATTAATAAATCAAACAATTAATTTCATCCAAAAGATATATATTATTTATAAAAATAAAGTTAGAAAATAAAATCCTTATATTAATTTCAATAATGATTTAAAACTAATTTCAAAATGGTGTATTAAACAATAACAAATATAGCTTTACTTAATATTAAAATATTAATGAAAATTAAAACATTTTAAATAGATATCATTTTTAATTTGATAATAAGTTTAAGCAAGATTTCTTTATGTAATAATTATCACAAATAAGCTTTTTTCACCCATCTTTTAATTTCCTTTTAATCTTAATTTTAATATAAATTTATATATTAATTTTAATATAAATTTATATAGCACAAATGATGATTTCATTTTTGAAGATATTGTTTTTGAAATCGATAGTTTATTAAAATTGCATAACTGACAATGCAGCTGATTGTATATATTCAGATTTTTAAATTATTGGATTAAGTTCCGCAACATTAGATAGGTGTGGCACCGAACCTTAGAACCTATTCATGGGACCTTATGGATATTAAACCATAGTGTCAAAGACATTTACGAATGTACCCCCAAACAACTTAATAGAATTTAAAGTTGGTATTTGGAAATTAGACTCTTGGGACAGTGAAGGATTTTAGATTTTTGCAAACAATGTTGAAATAGAAAATTTAAAATTGAGTTTTCATGATGGAACAATGATGTGTAGAAATGAGATATGGGAAGATTTATTTTAGCCTCTTTCATTTAGATTGAAAATAACTGGAACTGATTTAACAATAAAGTTAAAAGATAACTTACAAACTGATACGTGGTTCGAAGATCTTTGGGATGGTATAAATTCAATTAATTCTAGAATCTTGGGGATTCAGAGACTTTATTTTAAGACTTGCTGTTCCATGTGTTAATTTTTATAGTGAATGCAATTATACTGGAGCATTATTTTAAATATGTTAAGGTGAAAAATCCAAATTGCAGAATGAAATTCCTATTGAAATCAAATCAATCCTTATGGGTCCAGGTATAATTGTAAAATTGAAAAGTCCGAATTACTTTGCCGGAGTAATTTAAGAGTTCACTTCTTCATAGCCTTGCTTGATGGCTTATCAGGTATTTATTTAATAAATCAAATTTAGTTTCCAAAGGTTATCTATTAGGAGTGATGAATAAAATTAAAGGATTTTTCATTATTTATAAATACACTCAAAAAAAAATTTTACATTTTATGTAATAATAGTTTTTATCTTGTTAATTATTACCTTTAAGTATTTTCAAGTTATGCATTATTGAAATTGAAAATATTATTACTCACCTTCGCAACAGCTATTATAATTAGATTAAAATAATCATAATTAATTTAAATTAAAATAATTTTGCCAAAGTTTAAATTCATGAGCCATTCAGATTATGGATTAAATGCGTTCAAGTTAACTTCAGTAACGAGAATTGAAAGATAGAATTATAAATAAAAAAAAGACTTTTGAGTTAATGTAAGTGCCTGAAACAATTATTTTTTTTACCCAATTAAGCAAATCATAGTTCATGTCATTAAAACTTCATTGTGAGAAGTTGTTATTGTCAAGAAATCAATTCAAGGATAAAACCAAATAATAAGTAATAAGTAATCAGACAAAAAGATTTAATAGAGTTGAAAGTTCAAAAAACAAGTAATTAACTTAGTTTGAGAATTTAAACTTATTTCTTTAGAATGGCAACAATTTCTGTTTTGAGAGCAAGTGTGCTATGAAATTTATTATTAATTTATTCGTATGATTTCTTATGGAGTAGCCAAAATAATTAGTTTAAGATAGTTACGGGTATTATTAATTTGTAAAAATGGATTACTATTTATAAGAAATTACTTTAGAAGTAATTTTATGTTAAAAATATCAAGTTTACATTTAAATCTATAAATAGGATAAAATTAGGAATTAATTAATTTTTTGATGCTATAATTATATTTCACAAGTTTCTTCGTTTAGAATCATAAAACTGAACAAGAATAATTAAATAATATTCTCCATACTCATTCTTCCTTTAAGGTAAGTAAATCATCTCATAAATTTACATAATTTTCGAAACTAAGCCCTCAATTATGTTAAATATTTTTAGCTAGGAGTAAATTTATTAACTCATCCTAAGAAAATTTAATCAATAAACTAGTTTATTAAATATTTGCTTTACCTATTTACAAATTATTATTGTAAATTTAATTCTGATATAGTCAGGTACAATATTATAAATATATCATTTTCTTGACATAAATATTTTTATTTTTTATATAATTTTGATATTAGATCCTCTATGTATAATGAATTTCTTTGGGAAAACTTAGAATTTAATGGGAAAAAGTTAATAATAATAATTTCTTAATATCGTTAATACTTTAAGTCAATAAAAATTTATTATCTAATTATGCATGTATATATTTATTCATTATAATGAACTTAACTTCCTAATCTGTATTTCTTTTGACTTTCATCCCAAGTAACTAGAAATTCACCAGTTTCACTAATTTAACCAAAAATACTTTTAGTGCCAAAGTCTAAAAATGAAACTAGATTAATTTAGTTGTTTGGTGAGACATACAAAAAATTAATCTTATTTCCGTTTTTATTTATAAGGATTTAGTTTTTTTTAATAAATTATTAAGGAAATAGGTAATTACAATTATTTCCATTTTTTACTTCTACAATCTTAATTTTATTATACATTCTAGTGTGATTATCTGATTAATATATTTCCATAAATGTTGATGAATTAGGTTAAAAAGCAAAGATACTATCATTTATAAAGCATAATCTATATCCAGATTATTCCACTTTTATTTGTTATACTACATTCCATTTGCTTTAAAATGTGTCTGAATTCTCTATGATTAAAATTAATTTATCATCACCACATGTAATTAATTGCTTTTCTGTACAATTCAAACTCAACCCTGATACATTACTAGTGTGAACTGCTATTGTTTATGATTAATTCCATCCATTTTAATTAATCCAAAATTTAATTGTTTTATCATCGCTACCTGATATAATTAAATCTTGGTTTTGATTCAATATCAAACAATATATAAAACTTGTGTGACCTTGGAGTGTCTATTAACAATGCCATTCTGATTATTAATTTCTATTCCATATTTTAATTGATTAATCACAGCTTCCTGAAATAATTGAATTACATCTTTTCATAAAATTTAAAGTGAATATAGCATTCTTATGTTCATCTAAGTTTTAGATTAATCTGATTGTTTTTCCTTCTATTTCAAAGACTCTAATCAATGAATTGGATCCAGCCGCAATCAATGAACAATCAGAATTAATAGCAATTGCATAACAATATTCATTTTATTAAATAGAAAGGTCATCTAATTTAGAATATATAAATGATTAATTAATTTGTTACTCTAGTTATTATCTTTTAATTATTTACTATATTTAAATCTAGCCATTTGAAATTTATAATTGACGACACGGTTTTTTTGGAATTTGATTGCTTTTTTAATCAATTTACTAAATCATTTCATCAAGTTCATTATTTTTAATCAATAATTCTTAGTATTCTGTATTGAATGCTCCCTTCCAGTTTTCAAATTCAGTTCTCAATAATTCTTAATATTTATTCATAAAATTAGAGTTACTAATATCTTCTGCAATTTAATTAACTTCTGCTATTGATAATGCAGACCAATTAAATTATTTTAGTCTAGTTTAATAAGATATCTTATGATAAAATATCTCTGTACTTTTATCTATTTGGTAATTCTTAAACTTAAGAATATTAGTAGTTTTTTATTTGAAATCTAAACTTAGTTGATTAAGTTGTTATTTTTTATGAAAAATTTTGAGTTTATATTCATTATAATAATTCAACAATTAGATTTAGAAATTAAATAGACTTTATTCAAATTAATTCATGGTAATATAATTGGTAGGATATTATGCAATACAATCAACACAATTCATTCTGCATTTTGCTTTTTTGTTTTCATTTATATCAACCATTACAATTTATGAACCAATATGATCCTAACATGTTAAATTAATTCTTTATTAACTTTATATGTGAGAATCCATAGAATTTAATTCATTTATTTATTTATTAGAATAATTCTGAAATCCAATTCTGATTCTTTCTAAAAGTTCTTAGTATTTTTAAACGGAAATTTAATTATTTGAAATACGGCTTAAGTTTTTTAAAAAGAACTATTTATTTTCTTTAAAATTGATTTAAGATTTTTCGATATCTAAATATTATTTTATATATTAATTAATATCTTTAGTTTATAAACTTGAAATTTCATTAATAGACATTGTTTAGAAATCCTCCAAGATTTTGATTTATTAAGAAATAAAATCAATATAATTATCAATTGAAGTAGAAATCTGTTATTTCAATAATAATAGATTTTCTTTGAGTGTTATCAATTAGTCAAGATTATTCTACCCTTCTTTTGTTTTTTAGTTGATAAGCAACTTCTTGTGTTTTATTAATTATTCTTATGCATTCTCGATTAAAATTAAATTCATCTTCCCAGTTATTAGGCATTAAATACAAAACTTCTGGTCATCTGGAACTTCCTGTAAATTTGTCTAAATGATAGTCATTTAAGAATGCTTTTTGCATAAGTTGACATCTGACATATAAAATATTTTTAATTCTTATAATTAAATTTGATTCTTTATTTCTTTAGATTATCCACTCTATCATTTATTTGATGAATATTTGCATTTAATTTAACGAAATTGTGATCTAAACTATACGATAGAATAATATCAATAATAATGAAAAAATTCCGAAGAAGAAAATATTTGAATTGAAATATATATCAAATAGGATGTAAAACAATATTATTATCTATATTAGGTAATTCTTGAACATTTGTATTTATGCTGGTGGTCATCATCCATCTCTATCTTCTGGCTAAGTGTCAGATTAATTTAATAATGAAAGTAGTAGCAATTATATTTTTGAAGCAAAACTTGATGTAAGACTTAAAAGTAAATGAGGTAAATTCTATGTTATTTTTTTTAATATTTTCAATGATAATGATAGAGTTATTACCAGGGAACTTCTTTGAGTTATATAGTATATGTCTGCTTAAGACTATTCGTAAAATTTATTAGAAGAACAGGGTTTTGCAATCCAATAAATTCCGCCCCTTTTTTAAATTTATAACAGATCTACCTCTTCTCTCCTTTTAATAGTAACTTTTCCCTTTTATGTTGATTATCAAGGTTCAACTGAAATAGATATTTACACTACTTTAACCATAGTCATATATACTAATTTTTATATCTCAAAAGCTCTCAACTGCTATTGTTCTTCTTCCAACATTGCGCATAATCTAGAATATAGAAGTTCCTCCAAATAAGTTATTTTAATTTTCTCTGATTTCCCTCTGAATAATGTTTTTGGCAAGATTTAATATTCCAATTTCAAACTAAGTACAGGGTAAAATGGAGAGCAAAATATATTGAATATTAAAGCTCTGCCTAAATTTTCAGTTTTGTGTTTCTTTTGAAATTTATATTGTTAAAGGAATTATTATCTAAAAATTTATTAAATATAAAAGTCTTTAATAATAATGTGAATATCGAAAGAGCTGTGAAAAGTTATGATAATGAGTATTGGAAACCTTGATAGATATTAATGAATATATAATAAGATGAAATAATTATAACATTGAGGCTATCAATGAAGATTCATGGTTAGAGCAAATCATGTAATTAAGCTGCATTATTGTGGAACTTCAAGAAGGATATAGAAAAGATTTCTAAAATTATTTACAAGCCTTTATATATAAATGATTATAGGTTGATAAATTGAATGGAGTGATGTTAAATAAATTACTTGAAATACTAATTTCCAAGATTGTATAATAGTAGATAGGAAATGTGTTCAAAATGAAGGGAAGGATAATTAAGAATCAAAATATCATAAGAATTTCAAAGCCTTTTTGTAATAATTAATATAAAAGTTTAAGAGGTAATGGTTCAATGATTAAGATGGCCTTAGAATAAATTATTAATAGGCAGAAGGTTAGAAGGACGCTTATAATATTGAATATCAAAAGTGTAAAAGAATTGATAGAATATCTACTAATAGTTAATAAAATTAATCAATTCCTCTAGAGCAATTGTTGAGAGTTAAACCTCTTTAAACATTGATTTCTTATTAATACATTTATTTCATAATAAGTTTTTCTTGGCTTAATTTTCTTATTATCAAACTGTATTTATTAATCTAAGTATATATTTAAGCTTGAAAAATCTCAATAAATCAAAAGAGAAATAATAAATCAAAATGTATATCCCCACCTAGATAACACTGAATGAAATAGAATTAGTACAAAAAATTTGAAATTATATGGTAAAAACTGTCTCTGAAAAGAAGAATTGGACTTATGTTTTTTTTTTGGATGAAATCCTTTAATATTCGTTAATTGAATATTAGGAAAGTGAGGGTTTTTCAATCTAAGTTTGATTAGATCATGCCCAAAAAACTTAAGGATTTCCCAAAAAGAAATCATAATTAGAATAATGGATATAACTTTCCATTAAATCTGAAATAGTAATATTATCCTACAGTTTTAATAATAATTTCAATTAGGCTATTTAATTTTTTTATTTCATTCCATGATTCTGTCTTAAATTACATAATTCTATCATTTTATTAAAATTAGATTATAAAATTCTATAATTGATATTAATTATTATGAGACTATTGATTGTTTTAATTTATACAACTCATCAAACTTTGATTTATTAGTTTTATGCTAATTCATACAACAGGGATGGTAATTTCTTATAATTATCCTTTAGGATGGCAGGATTTGGGAGGTGATACTATTTTTACTTCTTGCGGAGGGATTCAATATTTTGGGTCATCTTGGGGGGGTACTGTTGTTAATAGTAAATTATTTGACGTCCCCGAAGATCATTCCCATATTAGAGTAGATTGTTAAATATTAAAGTAAAAATATTATTATTTTGTGAAAGTATTGATGGAGACACTTCTGTTCCTGTATTTGAAGTAGATTATAGAAGAAGACCTGATTTTTAGTCAACCTTTACATCCTAAAATTAAGTTTGTGGAAATTCGCAATAAGAATACATTTAGTCGACAACTTTAATTATTTAGCATAATAGACGAACTGTTTGGATGTTTGTTGAAACATTTAATGGAGGAGGATTAATATCATTAAAATTAAGTACCGTTAAATGTTAGTATGATTGTGATGGATGCATAGAGAATTAATAAATATTTTGCTTAAAATGGAAACTGCATTAATATTCATTTACCTAGAAATATCTGACAAATTTTGATGGATGGGTATATGTATCATAGTATTCGGATCATTACTATTGTGGATATTGCCAATATTTGTTATATTAATAAATTCAATATTCTACTAAACTCCCTCTTCATAAAGACGTATTCATAAGGTTTTTTAAAGCAGATGGGTATACTATTATAGTAGACTATTAATAAGGCATAAAAACTATTAGCTCCTTTTATTAGCAAGTAGAAATATTAATAGAAAATCATTATGATCCTATATTAATACTCAAGATTAAAACTCAACCAATCAGTGATTATGGTTAAATAAGAGATTTTGATGTATTTTATACTTTGCCAGAAAAAATGCTAGTTAATTATTTGAATTAAGGATGTTAAGAGTAAATTGAGGATAAATGCTTAATTTGCTAAGAAGGTTGGATTTAAGATAAATTTCTAGAAACTTGTCATCCAATATGCCCTGAAGGAACAATTGAAGATTAATATTGCTCTTTAAAAGTAATTTAGCCTTAATCAGCATTAATAGTAAGCAAATTGAAAGAGGGTTGTTTAGAGTAAATTGATAATACATGTCTGATCTGCAAAGAAGGTTGGGTTAAAGATAAATTTCTTGAGACTTGTCATCCAATTTGTGGTGATGGGATTATTCAAGGTTAAGAAGAATGTGATGATGCTAATTTAATATCTAATGATTCTTGTTATTAATGCAAATATTCATGCATAAACTTTTGCAAAACTTGTGTATTTGGAATTTGTTATGAATGTGTTTTTGGATTTGATCTTAATGCTGATTTAAATTGTGTTTCTTTTTGTGGAGATGGTAATGTGGTTCCTTATTCAGATGAATAATGCGATCTAAATGATAATGAAGAATGGGATCATTGTTAGGATTGTAGATTTGTATTAATAGCTAATTGTAAGCGTCAACTACTTTCAATGTGCTTGGTGTGTGAACTTGGATATTAACTGTTAGAAAATGCATGCTTTCCTCATTGCGGAGATAAATACGTTCTCTAATAATACGAAGAATGTGATGATGGTAATTTACAACCTTATGATGGTTGCTTTGAATGTAAGTTTCAATGCGCTGAAGATTGCAACATATGCTATCTAGGATAATGCCTTCTAAAATGTGAAGATGGATATAGATTTCTTAATAATAGGTGCCTTTCTATTTGTGGTGATTAAATTGTCACAAAAGAAGAAGATTGTGATGATGGCAATAAAATCTAATTTGATGGTTGCTTTGATTGCAAGTATTCTTATTCATGTCCAGAAAATTGTTATGAATGCTATCAAGGTATTTGTTTAAAGTGCAATGATTAATATTAATTACTAATTTCAAATTAATGCAAATTATAATTATAATGTGGAGATGGATTGCTTTAGTAATAAGAGGAATGCGATGATGGAAATTCAGAAGTACTTGATGGATGCAAGGATTGCTTGATTGAATAAAATTGGATATGCACCGCAATGATAAGAGATTCTCCTAGCTAATGCGCGTTTATCTAAGCACCAAAATTAGTAATTTCTTATCTCAACATGACTTCAAATTCATAATACATAAGTATCTAGTTTAATTAAAAAGTAAAAATTTACTCAACCTAAAAATTATCAGAAACCATAAATTGTAATTTATCAAATTTAAATAAGAAGAATTGGAATAGCAGCTTATATATCATTTAGGATGTGGGATCAGATGTAAGTTTTGGAGAATATATTATCGAAATAGAAATTCAATAATTACTTGAATTTCGACCTATCTTAACAATTGAAGTAAATCAGACAGTTGCTAATTATGATAATTCTTTTTTGGATGACTTTACAAAATCAATAACTTTACAATATCCATAATATCTTGGAGAAACTTAAAAGGAGTATGCTTACAAGTTGAAAAATTTAAATATGTATTTGATTTATGGTTTGTCTGGTATTACTTGTGCAAATCTACTATTAGGAAATGGAGATTTATTTATCGAAATTTTGGCAATCCTTCAATCCCAGTAATATTTGAGATACATTAATCTGTAATTTCCATAAAATTTAGAGATCTATTTTTCTGTTAATGACTTGATAACAATTTAACCTCTATTAGATTTTATAGATTTTTCATAAATATTTTCATTAATTGAGCTTTAGTAAAATTAATAACCATATTCTGAAGGAAAATTTGCTGTTTACTAAGAAAACCCAACCTTAATCATCAATCTTTCATTCCAAATATTATAATGCTTGATATTTTTATTTCTTATTTTGTTGTGTAATTTGATAAAAAAAGTAATATACAAATGGATATTTTGTTAAAGGAACTTTTACTATGCCTAAACTTTATCCTTATAGATAAATCCAAAAATAGTTTTTAAGTGTTAGGAATCCTTTTATAAAATTTGCCTAAAATTACTAAATTTGAAGAAATATATGTCTTTTTAAGGTTTATAAAAAGCCTTAATTCTAAATGGTTGGGATATGACATTTAAAATACTATTGTATACACGAACCTTTTCAACTAATAATTACTTAGATATTGTACAACTTATTATAACCTGTGTACTTCTAATTCTTTATGTTACCATATTGCTAGATAGTTTCAAAAGTAAGTAAACATTTTCAAAGTTGAAAAGGTTTGAAATTTTAATTTATGGTAGATAATTTTTCTTTTTATTCTACTTGATTTTTTGTCAAAATTCCCAAATATTATAATTAGGATTACTCTTCATGACAAATATACTTTAGATTAGTTTGTTATTTAATTATAGGCATATTCAAAAAAGAAAGAATTATATTGTTTAGATGGTGGTTGAGATATCTGTATTGACTTTTATGCTTAGTTCATTCTTATACATCTAAGAATGTAATGAATACTTTAATGAAGAGAAAAAAATAATATTGGGATGGATTCATATAACCATTTTATCTACAGGTATTATAGTAGAAACAATATTTATCATCAAAGATTTATATTAAGCATGGAAAAGGTTATACAAAAGGAAAAAGCCATAATGTGCTAGAAGTTAGTTATTTATATGAATTGAATATAAAAATATTAAATTTTAATTATATTTTATCATCTATTTTACATTCTAGAAACGTAGTGAAACTCTGAAGATAACAGTTATAGATGTATCATAATCTAAAATAATTTCTTTCTCTTTTACTGGGTTTAGTTTATACCAGGATATAAATATTATTTACCTACCAACCCAATCTTTCAGTATTACTTACCAACAAATTTTTGTAATGGATTTGTGAAGTTTGATATTGTAGATAACATAATCAAAAGAACAACAGTCTATAAGAAGTTGAAACAGGTTATGCATATGAAACTATATCTGTTGCCTCAGATATTTATTCAGCTTCAAGTTAAGCAGAATGCGATTCTTCTAAAATCAAAATGCTATTATTATATGGTTAAATGTTATGCTGATGTTACCTCCAATTCTTATTCTTCAACTATCCCCTCTAGATTTACAAAGGAGAGTTAAAATCTGTAGATGAATCAAAAATTGATTGATTATTGTAGTCTTAAACTTGATAAACAAGGATGTGTTCTTGCAACTAAACTAATGAGGATTACGCTGCTTTAACAATTTCAACATCTGAATTGACATCTAATTTTAAAATAGATAGAAAGATATCAAGATATCAAGCTTCTTCTATTCTACCCACATTTTTTCATCAATCATTACTCTAATAATCTACTTATTTATTATTTTCTTTTAATAAAATAAAAGCTTCAAATTTTAAGTATTTTATATAATATTCCCCTTTTTGAGTTTTGGTTAAAGAAAAAATAAATATATAAGGATTTTATATTTAAGAATGAAGTGATTCCTAGATTATCACATGAAATTTATTTATGATATTTGAAATAAATTTGAGAAATGAAATCATCATTTATAAAGGTGGTTCAACAATTAAATTATCATGAAAGCAAAATAATAAGAACCTGATCTTTACCATCTAATCAAAATATATTTTTGCTAAGATTAATTAAATAAGTATTGAATTTAGACCAATAAATGTTTAAAGAACTTTTGATTAACAAACAGGTTTATTACATAATGATTAATTTAATCAATAGAATGTAATAAATGTGAAATTGAACATTAATTTTAGAACTTGAATAAAATATGACAATAAAATAGTCTTCATTTATTGAACATGTATTATTATCGTTGATATCTTACAGAAAGTCATTATTTGTATTTTTAATTACTTAAATACAAAGTTTTGTTTATTAAACTAATATATCGGATAATACTGTGATAGAATAAGAAAACTTAAATTTTATCATGTATGATTATAATGTATGATATTCATTAAGGGGTTATTGTTGCTATCAGGGATTTCATAAATATAGGTTTTTCTCGAAGTTCTTCAATGTCTTTGACTAATTCATACTCCTTGAATATTTTTGTGAACACCTTAAAAGTAGCCACATGTCCAGCTCCTGTAAGCATTTTCTAAAATCCTTATTTTCTGCTCTCGAGGACTGATAAATAGGAACATATTAAGGCCAGATTTTGTTTACAGTAATCTGAAAATGTTGCCAAATGACTCAGATAAGATATTTCATTTTTGGGAAGACTTTTTGTATCAGCATATTTATCAAGCAAAGTTTTGATCATTTTTCCAATGTCTTTCATTGCTTAGGTGGGTTCTATCCCTGAATCTACATGCATATCTGACTTGCGTTGTAAATCGAAACTTAAGCATGCTGAGACTAGCTTATCTCCATGAAATGCTCCAAAAGAGAGGCCCTCCTAAATCATCAACACACTAATTAAAATATAAACAATTGTTACTATTCTTAAAGAATATCTTCGCTGCTCATATCTGAGTCTATTGATTCGACAATCAAAAATGCATCGTTATGATGTACAAATGCATCAGTCATTAATACCATTAGAGGTGCAGCATCTTACTTCTCTAGTTTCCTAAATGTGTAAACTTTCTCTGCCTCCTTAATGATGTCAGATAAATCATTGATATTAGATACTTACATATGTATGATTTTTAAAATAAAATAAAATAATTCAAAAGGATTTATTCAAAACCTTATCAATAGCAATTCATTATAACAAATATTACTTTTAATTTTCATAATCATTTCATCAATGAAGAATCGATTCTCCAAATATCAAAGTATAATAATGAACAATATTTAAATTAAAATCGATCCACCTATTCAAAAAGACTCAATACAATTAATTGCTTAAAAAGAAATAAACTGTATATTTATATGTTTTTTGCTTCTTTCATTAATATCTCAAAATATGCATTCAAAAAGTAATTGAAGGTCTTCTTTTGTAGCAGTAGTAGTAAATTCATATTATAATAAATTTATCGTTCAACTAAATTTACTCCAAAGCTATATATATGGATCCTATTTAGTACCTTATACTAGTAAAACTTGGAATTGAAGAGGTTTGCTATTTTAACACACTAGTAATGAAGATGTTCCGATATATTTCTTAATCATTTATTTTCAATGGAAATTAAAGTATGTAAATGAAATAGAGGGTAAAGGAATATGTCAATGAAGTGCTAAGATATCTCCAAATAGTCATAATATTTAATAAAAGGACTTAATTAAGATAGGATGCAAGAGGCTGTTTCATAAAAGCGAGACTATTTTAAACTTATTTACCCAGAAATTAGTCTTATCGATACTAATATTATTACTCACTTATTTATTCCTTTATTAGTTTATAAACTCTGAGATTTATAAACTGAACAATATACGTTCTGGAAAGAAAAATCTTGTGATTGTCATAACCTTTCAGAATCAGTAATACTCCAAAAAATAAGTAACAGCAGTTTAGTTGTTAACCAGGAAAGAAGTGTGTACTTTTAATTTTGTGATAATCAGCCGATCAAGAACAACTATAGCAATTTTAAGTTTGCAGTATCCTTTCTTTCAAATTTGAGGAGAAAATTAAAACTATCTCGCAACTAAACATTATTAAATTTATTAATTACAGATTCTATAATAATCTAGTTGTTTAATTATAGAAAAGATCAAATTAAAATTTATAAATTCCTTTAATGCATATATTCTAACAAATCAAATCTTCATATATAATAGCACAATATTCCTCCATTTCTTTCCCCTTAAAAATTTTGGTTATTTATAATCTAAATAATAGCTCACACAGGATGATTTTCTAATATAATATTATTGAATTACATAATTATCTTGCAATAAATGGAATTCATATATCTTCTTTCATCATTAATGTAAAAGCTCACGAAATAATATTACGTTTTGTAGACACAATTTAATTATTTCTTTATCATAATTTAGTCTATTTGTTTACTAAATGGCAAAACAATATTTCTCCTAAAAAATAGCCT